GTAGAGGAAACAGCACGTGCAAGAGATCTCATGGTGGAAAGCAGAAAAGGATTAAGTTGTGAAAGATGAAGCCAGACTTTTTAATAACCTCTTCTCATGGGGACTAATCCATTCCCGCAGAGTTCAGTCACTCCCCTGGGAGGGCATTAATTTATTCATGAAGGATCCACCCCCATGACATAAACATTTCCACTGCCACCTTGGGAATCAGATTTCAGCATGAGCTTTGGTGGTGGCAAAAATCCAAACTATAGCAAGTACATTTATAGTTTCTTTTAAGTGACGTATTTTTGCTGATAAAACAGTAGATAATTTTATGGCAAAGAGGTGGTCTAGGTTTAACTAATTCGTACAGTGCTATGAAGGATACATTAAAAGGGACATTTGGGGGTGGGGTTTGAGAAGGAGCCATGCAACTTCCTTAGTGCCTTCCTTAGTGCTTTGCTGATTAGTAATTTCTTCTGCCAAATACCCTCATTCAGCAGCTGGAAGTTCCACATTCCATAAAACTTTTGGGCATGAACAGAATGCATCCAAGTTCCTTGCCAGTTTTTGTAGCAAGAGTGATCTTTGCCCCAGTTCCCAGCAAGTTCCTTCTCATTTTGTCTGATATCTTCTCAGAATGGCCTTTACTGTCCATATTTCTATCAGCATTCTGCTCATCACTATTTAATGAGTCTCTAAGAAGTTCTAGACTTTCCTTGGTTTTCTGTAGTCTAAACTCCCACCAGCAGCTAGGCTTTTTCTAGCTTGCTCCTTCACATTCTTCTAGCCTCTCAACACCCAGTTCCAAAGCCACTTCCACATATTCTAGTATTGTAAGCAACGCCCCACTTGTCTGGTACCAATTTTCTGTTGCTTATAACAAAATGTCTGGAACTGGGTGATTTGTAAAGAAAACAAAATTTATTGCTTAGAGTTTCAGAGGCTGGGAAGTCCAAAGTCCAGGGAACACATTTGGTGAAGGCATTGGTGGTGGTGACAGTGACTCTGTGGTCTCACATGGCAGAAAATGGCAGAGCAAAGAGAGACTAACCTCTCATGTGCTCTTCTTTTAAAGCCCACCAAACCACGTCCCTGACCACTGTTATTAATCCATTCACTATGGAATGGTCCTACAATCTAATCATCAATTCAGGGTCCCTCCTTTTAATTACCGTAGTAGGATTTCTCACCCTCAACTGTTACAGTGGGAACTAAGCTTCTAATAAATGAACTTTGGGGACAGAATTCAATCAATCCGCAGCAGCTAGGTAAGCATGGTAATAGTTTAGGTGAGATGTGAGGGTAGGAACTAGAGTAGTTATAAAGTAGACAAAAAGAAATGATAAACTGTTCGGGATAAACTGTTCGGAAGATAAATGTGACTTGACTTGGTGATTGAGTGTAGGAAGTGAAAATCTTATTTTAAGTTCTGCTAAATTCATCATTTCAGTTTCATATCTGCTGAAATTCATTAGCCTTTCTTTTGTCTCTTCCTGAAGAGATAATCCAAATTAAGATAATTTGGTGAGTCAGATTAGGTACAAAATATTTTTACTAAGCAATTTTCCAGTTTTATTATTTTCAAGGGTGTGAAGGAAAATTGTAATCTTATTAGGCCCCAGTTTTTATTTTGATCTAGTTCTATATGTCTTTGGAAGCTGAGATGCTCTGTATTCATTTTTTTGAGACGGGCTGAGGTTAAGAAAATATCTGTAGTTTTCTATTACCCAGATGTGATTATACATACTCTAATTCTTAATTACTTTAGTGTTATCATCAGGTAGTAAATACTTGATAATCTTATTAACTGCTTTCTCCTTCCTCAAAACCAATATAATACAGCTTCGTTTGACTTCAATTGCCTTTTCATCTTTAGGAGGTATTCCTTTATATATCTTTATCTACAGGG